CGGCTGGGACAGCTCGGACTGCCGGAGGGTGACCCTCCCCATCCTGGCACGCAGGTCCGTGCCCGGCGGGCGGCCTCCAGAAAGGCGGTTGGAGACGCGGGTACGTGAGCCTTTACCCCCCAGGCTGGCCGGCTGGCCCCGTCTGACCAGTGGGAGCCCTCGGAAGCTGGTCCGGCTCCTGACTGGTTATCAAAGCAGGCGGCTTTCGTCCTGGGCGCGCTCTCTCTGTCTCTCTGTCTGTCTCTGTCTCTCTGTCTGTCTGTCTCTCTGTCTCTCTGTCTTTCTCTATCTCTGTCTCTCTGTCTCTGTCTCTCTGTCTCTGTCTCTCTCTGTCTCCCTGTCTCTGTCTGTCTCTGTCTCTCTGTCTCTCTGTCTCTCTCTCTGTCTCTGTCTCTCTGTCTGTCTCTGTCTCTCTCTCTCTCTCTCTCTGAGATGAGAAATGTTTGTGCCTCAGCGGCTCACGGGGCCAGCTGGTCACCAGGATCCGTGCTGCACACGGCAGCTCCCGGGGCGGGAGCCGCACCCCGAGGGGTCGCTGGGCTCCCATTCCCACTCACGCTCTCCGCACCGCGGCACCCAGTCTCCCCAGGTGCTGGGTGAACTGTCCCCGAGTTCTCAGGCCCAAGTCCCGCCCCGCGCCTCGGCGGTGACTCAGTGGAAGGGGGTCGCGATGACCTGGTCTGGACGAGGTGCCAGGATGTCCCTGACCCCAGGCCCGGTGCCCTCTGAAGGGGAGGCGCCACACGCACAGAAGGAGGCCGCCCCCGAGGAATGCTGGGAGCTGGCAGGAAGCCTGGACAGCCCCCCCCCCCCCACCAGTGCCTTCGGAGGAGCACGGCCCCGATCGTAAATGTCCAGCCCGTAGGACCCAGATAACACCATTGGCTCCTCACAGGGAGGGGGGAGGGTGCCAGCCCCCCTCACAGTGAGCATCTGAGGACGTTGGCCTCCACAGGAGGACGCTCACGCCAGCCACTGAGGGAGGGGTGGGGAGAGGAGGGGAGAGGAGAAGACTGGGTAGTTCAGTGGGTGAGCAGGTGGATAAGTGGATGGTGAATGGATGGATGAAAGGATGAGTGGCTGGGTGGCTGGGTGGGTGGATGATGGATGGGTGAGTGGGTAGGTGGGTGATGGATGAAAGGATTTGTGAATGAGTGGGTGGGTGAGTGAGTGGATGGATGGATAAGTGGGTGGGTGGATGATGGATGGGTGAGTGGCTGGGTAGATGGATAAGTGGGTGCGTGGGTGGATGATGGTGGCTGATGGGTGGGTGGGTGGGTGGTGGATGGATGAATAGCTGGGTGGATGGACAGATGACTCGGGTGGGTGGATGGTGGGTAGATGATGGGTGGCTGATGGTGGCTGATCAGTGGCTGATGGGTGGATGGTGGGTGGAAGGTGGGTGGATGGTGGGTGGATGGTGGATGGATGAATAGCTGGGTAGATGGACAGATGACTCGGGTGGGTGGATGGTGGGTAGATGATGGGTGGCTGATGGTGGATGGTGGGTGGAAGGTGGGTGGATGGTGGGTGGATGGTGGATGGATGGTGGGTGGGTGGTGGATGGATGAATAGCTGGGTAGATGGACAGATGACTCGGGTGGGTGGATGGTGGGTAGATGATGGGTGGCTGATGGTGGATGATCAGTGGCTGATGGGTGGATGGTGGGTGGATGGTGGATGGATGAATAGCTGGGTAGATGGACAGATGACTCGGGTAGGCGGATGGTGGATGGAAGAATGGATGGGAAGGGAGGTGATACAAGCGCCATCTTAGCGATTTAAAGGGCCAGGCCACTGGGAAGATGCCCAGGGCTTTGGGCTCCTCTGGAAACAACCGGGCACAGAGACAAGATGCTGGTGCACCGGGGCCTGGACGGGCACGGCTCCCGTACACGCACGCACACGCACACGCCATTCTCTCCCGCAGTGGCGGTGCCCACTTTGCCACTGGCAGTTGCCTTTGCCTCCGTTGCCCGTGGCCACCGGGCCGGCCCCCAGCAGGCAGGGTCTGGCCGCCAGATGTCAGCCTAATGAGCCGGCTGCTGGCCACTAATTGGCTGGGGGTCCGGGCACCAGGGACACGGGGACCAGGGTAACGGATGGGTGGAGTGGCCCCCGCCCGGGCTTGGGGGGCCCATCGCTGACCGCGGGCAGGGGAAGCAGGTGCCCAGCGGAGCCCGGGCTGCCCACCCCCGTGCCAATGCCGCAGCCTCCGGGCTCCCAGGTCCGGCCGCCTCCGTCACGGGCTGCGGCTCCTCAGGGCACGGGCAGGGGCAGGGGCAGGGGGCGGGTGGGCGGCGGGCGTGACCGCGGGGCAGGAAGAAGCGAGCGGAGGAAACGGACGCCGGGAACAGCCGGTCACGGTGGCGGCGTGCCCCGCAGCGGGGATGCGGTTACAGCCGGTGGCCCATAAACCCGGTCAGGCGGTTTACGAGGCGGCGGGGGCGGGGGCGGGGCCGGCTTCTGGCCGGAGCGGAGCGGCCGCGCCCTGGGGGAAGGGCCTTCGGGGGATGCCCGGCCGCAGGGGTGTCCGGCGCTGCCCGTCGCGTCAGCTCGGGGGCCGGGACGCGGACACCCACACGGAGCCTCGGGGTGCACGGGCCGGGCGGCCGGGGCTGGGGGGTGGGGTGTCTGCTCCGCAGGCGCTGGGAACCAGCACAGCCTCACGTCGGCTGCGGCTCGTAAACCCCCTCCGGTTCCCAGGCACGTGGTGTCCCCCCTCCCCGTCCCCCCTGCAGAGGCCGGCGACTGGGAGGGGCCTTGGGCCTCCCGCTGCTGTCTGGGCGGCCTGCGGGCAGCTCAGACCCTCCATGGCGGCCACAGCCTCCCCACCCGGTGGCCCCCCGAGGACGACGGGGTGAGGAGCAGGGAGGGGCTGTCTCCTGGTGGGATCGTCCTCCCAAGTGGGCGGAGGGGAGGAGCATGGGGACAGCGTCCCAGGCCACGTGGCCAGGCGGCGGGGTGCCAGGGCCGAGGTGCCAGGGCCGGGGTGCAGAGGGCAGCGTGGCTCCCAGCTCCGGGGGAGGGGCCGTCGGGAAACATGTCCTGGAACCCTCAGGTGGCTTTGTGTGGCCACCGTCCATCCCGATGGCCGGCCTGGCTGCCGGCGCTGTCCCGAGTCTGAGCTTGCCTGGGGGCCGGGGCCACTGAGGGACGGAGAATGGCCGCGTCACAGGTTGGTGAGGGGGGACGTGCCCAGGCCTAACGGGGAGGCCGGCGTGGCCCACGTGTGGGTCAGAGGCCGCTGCCTGGACACTCTCAGCACCAAACCAGGGGGTGTCCCTCCTCTCCGCCCGCTGGGCCCGGCCTGGCCCCGCTGTGGCCTCCCTGCCCCGAGGCCTCTTTGGGGCCCGGATCCAGGGACCTCGCCAGCCCGGCTCCCGACTCCCGACTCCGCCCGCATGGCGGCCGCGAGGGGAGGAGGCTCCCGGGGCCGAGGGAGAGGCGGCGGCGGCGGCGATGGCGCAGCTGGAAGCCGGCCGCAGGGTCCCGTGGACCAGCCCGTCCTCCGGCCGCCTGCCGCCTCCTGCCAGGGCCACGGGCTCCCTCGGCTCGGACCCAGATCTCCACGCCCTCCCGTGTGGCTGGGAATCTGGGGCCACGTCACAGCGTCCCCCTGCCAGGCCAGGGGCTCGGCTCGGCCAGTTGTGGCCCTGGGGACACCGGCTTCCTCCGCCCGGGGCTCAGGTCCACCAGCCTGTGAGCTGAGAGGCGGGCCCGGTCCCCGGTCAGCTCCTGCCCAGTGCGGGGCGTGCAGGAGGCGGCCGATCCCTGGCTCTCTCTCATCACGGTGTCTCCCTCTCTCCCTTCCTCTCCGACATAATAAAACATGCATTAGAACGGGTTTTGTTGACCTCGCCCAGCCGGCCCGGTGGGCTCAGAAAGCCACGTGGGCACCGTCCCCACCGCGTGGCCAGTGTGTGAGGTTCCCTGGGGGTCGGCTGGACACAGGCCGGAGGCGGCGAGGGGCCTGGAGGGCGCGGCCTTGGAGTCCTCGGGGCGCGTCTGGGGGGGAAGGAGGGGGCGGGGTGGGTTTGGAGACATGTGCCCCCCGGACCCCCTCTACCTCCTCAGGGAGCCGGGAGCCCGGTCCCCAGGTCTGACGGGTCCCCCAGTTTCTTCCTGAGCGTCGGAGCCTGAGCTGCAGGCCGGGTGCTGCGGAGGCCGGAGCCACCCCTCTGCCCAGCCCCCTGGGGACGCAGCTCGGCCCTGGGGACCTGGTCATTTCCAAATGTGTTGCCATGGCCGTGTGACTGGCACCCTCGGGCCGCCCCCATGAACCCAAACATCCTGCTGTGTGCCCGCCCCACGGGCCACTGCAGGGAGCAGGGGCCCTGACCTCCGGCCAGCGTGGGGACGCGTGTGCCTGGAGAGGCAGCCAGCAGGCCGGGGGCTTTGCTCGGCACCTGCCGTGGGACAGAGCCAGGGCCCTGGGGTGACGGGAGGAGAAACCCCGAGGGCTCCCTGGAGGAGTCTGACTTCAGAAAGAACGTGCCAAGTCCCTGTGTGCGGAGGACCCTGCCTGGGCCTGGTCACCCTGAGCCCGGGGCTTGTGCCTTGGTCACCCACACCCGCAGCTCCGAGACGCCCGGGGCCGAGGTCCAGGCGGCTGCTCCACTCAGCCTAAGGCGGGACCTCAGCCCCAGGCTGCTGGTCACACCGCCTGGGGGCGCCGCCTTCCTCCCGGAGGCGTCTCCCAGGCGGAGGGTGCGGGTGCGGGGCGACTCTGAGCCCCGCCCCCAGCCCTCTGACCTGGCTGAGCACAATGGTTGCCTTGGTGACCCAGGTGACCGCATCCCTGCAGAGCCTCAGCTCGGCCTGGAGGGGAGCGGCCTGTGGGTACAGGCATGGCTCTGGGGGACGCTCCGGGCCCCCCGGAACCCCGGGCCCTGGAAGCTTCCGGAGGAGGAGCCGCTGGTGTCACAAAGCGGCCCTGAGGGTTCCACCTGCCCTGGGCTGGAGGAGGCAGAGGCGGAGGCAGACGTGGGGGACGCGACATGTTTAGCCCACACGTGCTGGACGTGCCGGCCGTGGTGGTGGACAATGGGTCCGGGCTCTGCAAGGCGGGCCTGTCCGGGGAGATCGGGCCCCGCCACATCGTCAGCTCCGTGGTGGGGCACCCCAAGTTCCCGGCGGCCCCGGCGGGGGCGGGGGCCGGCCGGAAGCAGTGCTTCGTGGGCGAGGCCGCCCTGCAGCGGAGGGAGGCGCTGAGCCTGCGCTGCCCCATCGAGCGCGGCCTGATCGTGAGCTGGGAGGACATGGAGGAGCTGTGGCAGCACCTGTTTGAGTGGGAGCTGGGCGTGCGGGCCAGCGAGCGGCCGGTGCTCATGACCGAGCCCCCGCTGAACCCCCGGGCGGCCCGGGAGCGCACGGCCGCCGTCATGTTCGAGGCCTTCCAGGTGCCCGCCTTCTACCTGTCGGACCAGGCCGTGCTGGCGCTGTACGCCTCGGCCTGCGTCACCGGGCTGGTGGTGGACGGCGGGGACGGCCTCACCCGCGCTGTGCCCGTGTTCGAGGGCTACTCGCTGCCGCACGCCGTGGGCAGGCTGCCGGTGGCCGGCCGCGACCTCACGGAGCTGCTGGCGCGGCTGCTGCGGGCGGGCGGGCGCGGCTTCCCGTGCGCGCTGCGGCGGGCGCTGGTGGAGGACGTGAAGGAGAAGCTGTGCTACGTGGCGCTGGAGCCGGAGCGCGAGTTGGCGCGGCGCCTGGCGGACGTGCAGCGGGAGTACACGCTGCCGGACGGCCAGGTGCTGCGCCTGGGCGACCAGCTCTTCCAGGCGCCCGAGGCCCTGTTCGCGCCCGCGCCGCTGGGCGTGCAGGGCCCCGGCCTGCCCGGCCTGGTCGCCGGCAGCATCGCCAAGTGCGACGCGGACATCCAGGCCACGCTGTACGGCGAGATCGTGCTGTCGGGGGGCAGCACGCTGTTCCCGGGCCTGGACGACCGGCTGCTGCTGGAGCTGGAGCAGCGGGCCGCCCGGGGCACCCCCATCAAGATCACCGCGCCCCCCGACCGCTGGTTCTCCACCTGGATCGGCGCCTCCGTAGTCACCTCGCTCAGCAGCTTCAGGCAGATGTGGGTCACGGCCGCCGACTTCCAGGAGTTCGGGGCCTCGGTGGTCCAGAGGCGGTGCTTCTGAAGGCCCTCCCCGCTCTGCGTCCGGGGCCCTGGCGCGGCAAGCACGCCCCGGCGCCGCCCGCATGCTGTTCAATAAAGGACACGGCGGTGCGGTGGTTGGCCACGTTGGCTCGGCTCATTGCTGGAGGCACCGGCACGGTGTCTGACCGGGTGGTGGGTCTCATTTCGGGGGTCTGCCCCCAGCCCCCCTCCTCCTGGGAGCGCCCGAGGTTATGCAATGAGGCTGTGTCCACTGGTGGTCTCGGGGGGGGGGCGCGTCTGGACCTCCTGCCAAAAGCTCGTGTCGGAAGGGCCCCACTTGCCACCCCACTCCATCCCCACTCACCCCTCACCCCCCACCTTTATCCCCTCATTCTCACCTTCTCCCATCCCCCCCCCCGCCTGAGGCGTGGCCTGAGGGCCCAGGGCCAGCTCGCGGGGTGGGGCGTGTGCACCCACATGCTGCCGTGGAGCGAGCACATGCCTGCTGGCCTCACACGGGAGGGGGGCTTCGCTCTGGGAGCCGAGCACAGAGAAGGCGCGGACTGGAGCCGCACATGGAGCCAGGAACCCCCCAGAGGCCCATCCTGGCCCCGCCCCCCCGTTCTGACTCAGGGGGCTCCCAGGTCCTCAGAAGGCACTGGAGGGGGTCCCTCAGGCCACAGGGCTCGGGGCAGAGCAGGCCTGACTCTCCCGCTGCCCAGGACACCCCTGTGGTGTCCCTGCCTGATGCCAGCAGCTGCTCTGGAGGCCCCCACGTGAGGCCCCCCAATGTGTGTGTGGGGGTGGCCTCAGGGGCTGTGCTGGGGGACCTGCTTCCTGGAGCCTGAGGTTCCGGGGACCCGGTGAGCCGCACAGAGCCCGGTGTGGCCGGAGGGAGGCGCGGAGCAGCCGGGGGCCGGGCGGCACAGCCAGGGGTTCGGGCAGGAGCTGGGTAGAGACCCACAGGCCTGGCTGGCAGCACAGCCCCTCAGGGCCCGGTCGCCCGTGTGCCCCCAGGCCGAGCCCCGAGGAACGTGCACCAGGCAGAGCGGGCACCTGTCCTCAGAGGAGCAGGTGTGACAGAGGCTGGAAGGGGAGACAGGCCCCTGAGGGAGCCACAGCTGTGCGCACGGCTGGCGGGGTTCAATGGCTCCCGGGGGCCCCTCAGGTGGCTCTGGGGGCAGTGTGCCTGGGGGGACAGCGTGCCTGGGGGGACAGCGTGCCTGGGGGGGCAGTGTGCCTGGGGGGCAGTGTGCGTGGGGGGCAGTGTGCCTGGGGGGCAGTGTGCGTGGGGGGCAGTGTGTCTGGGGGGCAGTGTGTCTGGGGGGACAGTGTGTCTGGGGGGCAGTGTGTCTGGGGGGGCAGTGTGTCTGGGGGCAGTGTGTCTGGGGGGGCAGTGTGTGTGGGGGGCAGTGTGTCTGGGGGACAGTGTGTCTGGGGGACAGTGTGTCGGGGAACAGTGTGTCTGGGGGGCAGTGTGTCGGGGGACAGTGTGTCGGGGGGGCAGCGTGTCTGGGGGACAGTGTGTCTGGGGGCAGTGTGTCTGGGGGGCAGTGTGTCTGGGGGACAGTGTGTCGGGGGACAGTGTGTCGGGGGACAGTGTGTCTGGGGGCAGTGTGTCGGGGGGCAGCGTGCCCGGGGCCGGGCAGGGAGGAAGGAGGTGGCGCTGAGCAGGGACCGCGCCGCGGGAAGGCCCTCGCTCCCCGTCCGGGCGGCCCTGGCTGGAGGTGCCCTCACAGGGCTCCGGAGCGGCCGCTCCTGCTCTGACGCCAGGCTGGCAGCTTCACCGAAAACTAGCCGCTGCCTCCCCGGGTCACCCTCCTCGCTCCGGGGCTGCGGGCAGAGCTGACGCCGGCGGACGCAGCCGGCTTCCCGGAGAAGCCCAGCGCCGTCCGCTGGCCAGGCCGCCCGGTGACAACCCGGGAACAAAGCGGGCATTGTGGTCCGCCGGCCCGGAGCGGAAACCTAAGCCGCCGCCCGTTATCGCCCCGCCGGGCCGGGCTCCAGCTCCGGAGACACAATAATTTCTCATCGTCCTCCCCCGCCTCCCCGCCCGCCCACCTCGCGGCAGCGGCGGGGGCGGGAGCCCCCTGGACCCGGCCCCTTCACACGGGCAGCTGGGCCGGCCAGGCCCGGGGACCAGGGTGGCGCGGCCGGGGTTCACGACGGGTCTGCGCGCCGCCCAACCCCCGTGCGTCCCCTGCCGAGGCCGCGGCGCTGGCGGGCCGGGATGACGCGGGCAGATGCAATCCGAGGGCGGAGGCCTCCGGTGGCCGGCCGCCCGCGCTGGACACCCTGGCCAGGTCTGGTCAGAGGTGGCCCTCCGGGCGGATGGCTCCGTTGACCACTGCCAGCCAGGCCGCGGGGTCAGAGTCCCCGAGGAGCCCCAGGAGCCAGGCTGCGGGGTCAGAGGAGCCCCCGGGAGCCGGGCCGGGCGGTGGGAGGCGGGCAGGCCGGCCCGGGCCGTGCCGTCAGGCTGGCCGAGGCGTCGGCGTAAGCGGATACCTCCCAGTTATGCAACCGCCCGCCCGGCGAGCCCGCCCGGCAGCCAAAACAAGCGCCTGGGGCTCCGGGTGTGAAATCGGGCCGTGAAGGGGCCGGGGAGGGAGGGCGAGGTGAGCACGTCTCCAAGGGAAGGCCCGGGCTCGGCCGGGACGCCCCCAAGGCCAGCCTGTCCCCCTCCCCGGGCAGAGTGGGGGCTTCCAGAGTGTCCCTTCCCCCAGCCGGGCGGCCAGTCCCGCCGGGGCCTGCGGGGGGGGGGGGACTCTGGCTGCCCCGCCATTAACGTCACTCACAGGACATTTGTGTCCCCAGCCCAGCGGTTCTGCCTTCCCACCGCCTCCCGCCCCGCCTGGGGTCCCCAAGTTCACGGTGTCAGGGGCCGCCTGGGGCGGTGGGGGGCTGCCCTCCAGCCGTTCACCGGTGTCCGGGCGACTGGTAAGGGCCACCGTGACCGAACAGAGGGCCGGGAGGGGCTTGGAGCGAGAGGGTGAGGGCCGTGTGTGTGTGTGTGTGTGTGTGTGTGTGTGTGAGAGTGTGTGTGTGAGTGTGTGTGTAAGTACGTGTGTGTGTACCGTGTGTGTGTACTGTGTGTGTGTACGTGTAAGTATGTGTGTGTGCCGTGTATGTGTGTGTAAGTACATGTGTGTGTATGAGTGAGTGTGTGTGTTAGTGTGTGAGTGTGTGTGTGTGTAAGTACATGTGTGTGTATGAGTGAGTGTGTGTGTTAGTGTGTGAGTGTATGTGTGTGTAAGTACATGTGTGTGTGAGCCCACGGAGGCTCCTGTGCTTCTGTGGGGATCACGGCCGGCCTGGCACGCCCTCCACGGTCCCCACCAGGCGCCTGGCGCGGACGGCCCTCTGCCCCTGGTCAGGGGTGCAGTCTCCCCGGCCTCGGCGGGGGCTGGGCCTTGCTCCGGGGATGGAGCTGAGGGGCCCCCAAGGCCTGGTCCCTCCAGGGCTGGTCTCGGATACAGACCCCGTGGAGCGGAGGGACCTGCTGGCTGGGCCACGTGGCCAGGTCCGGGAGCGGGTGACAGAAGCTGCCGGAAACCGCGGGGCGAGGCGTGACGGGAGCCGTTGCAGCCACGGGCACGGCGCCACGGGATGCCACGGGCCGGCCGGGCCGGCACAGACGGCAGCCCCGGTGCGTGCGCTCCGCAGCCTGCTGGGCGCTGCCACCTCGGGCAGGGGACACAGCCCTCTGCCTGGCGCCCGTGCCGCAGAGGCCGGTGACCGGCACCCGGCATCCTGGTCTCGGCAGGGCCCATCCGGCCTCCTCCCGGCGGGGGACCCAGGTCCAGGCCGAGAGGGAGGCTGCACCCCTGGCCAGGGCTCCCTCCTCAATGGGCTCTGCTGGGCCTGCGCGTCCCAGTCGCAGCGAGAACCCCCTCCCGACCCTCACGAAGGCCCTTCCTCACGTCACCCACGGCACCGGCCACGGCCTCCAGCACCCGTCCCCGGGGCTGGGAGCTCCTCACCGTGTCCACGGTGTCCCCACGCGGGGGCTCAGGCCAGCCCGCCTGCCGGCACGTGGCCTGCAGGGGCTGTGATGCCCGCACCCAGAGGCACCAGCCTGCTGGACACTCACCCCCCGGACCGTGTCTCAGCTCCTCGCATGGGACTCTGCGGCCGGGACACGGCTCTCCCTCCTCCCGCACACGCAGGGGCCGTGGCCCAGGGCGGGGCCGGCCCGGAGGCCACCTGTGTGGGGACACGAGGGAGGAGCAGCCGCTGGCCCTCAGGTCTGGGCTCCCCATCGGCTCCATGGGGGCCTGGGAGCCCCTCACTCAGACGCTGGATCAGCATGGGCCCCTCTGCCTAGGCCTCCTGGCCCCGCTGCCCCAAGAGGCCTCAGCAACAGCCCCTGCCCTCCGGGACCAGGTGGACTGTGGCCCGGCCTCGGGGGTGTGAGGGGACAGGAGGCTGAGGCCTCGGGGGTGTGAGGGGACAGGAGGCTGAGGCCTCGGGGGTGTGAGGGGACAGGAGGCTGTGGCCTCGGGGGTGTGAGGTGGGCAGGGAGCCGTGGCCTCGGGGGTGTGAGGGGACAGGGGGCTGTGGCCTCGGGGGTGTGAGGGGACAGGGGCTGTGGCCTTGGGGGTGTGAGGGGACAGGGGGCTGTGGCCTCGGGGCTGTGAGGGGACAGGGGCTGTGGCCCCGGGGGTGTGAGGGGACAGGGGGCTGTGGCCCCGGGGGTGTGAGGGGACAGGGGGCTGTGGCCCCGGGGGTGTGAGGGGACAGGAGGCTGTGGCCTCGGGGGTGTGAGGGGACAGGGGCTGTGGCCCCGGGGGTGTGAGGGGACAGGGGGCTGTGGCCCCGGGGGTGTGAGGGGACAGGGGGCTGTGGCCCCGGGGGTGTGAGGGAACAGGGGGCTGTGGCCTCGGGGGTGGGTGTGAGGGGACAGGGGCTGTGGCCTCGGGGGTGTGAGGTGGGCAGGGGGCTGTGGCCTGCCCTCGGTGCACACAGGGGCACAGGGGTTCAGGGAGAAGCGGGGGGAGCCCGCCTCGCAGCAGGGGGACCCTCCGATGGTCCCTGCTCCCA